TCCCTGACTGCTCCCACTCCAGGATCGTGGAAGTGGAGCAGGACAATAAGATGACCCCTGGGAACCTGGGCATCGTTTTCGGGCCCACGCTGCTGCGGCCACGGCCCACGGAAGCCACCGTGTCCCTCTCCTCCCTGGTAGACTACCCGCACCAGGCCCGTGTCATTGAGACTCTGATTGTCCACTATGGCCTGGTCTTTGAGGAGGAGCCAGAGGAGGTACCTGGCGGCCAGGTAAAGAAAACTATGGGTGGAGACACCCGACAAGATGGGGGTTCTGGGTACAGGTCAGTAGTAGACCACCAGCCTAGCCTGCAGGAACCCCTGGGTCCACCCCCAGCACCAGGAAGCCAGGCTGCTTTGTGGGTCTCTCATCCCAGCACTCAGAGGTGGAGGAAGGTCCAGGAGTTTCAAGGCCATCCTCAGCCACAGAACAAGTCTGAAACTAGCCTGGGCTACATGAGAACCTTATGTACCTGTATCTGAAAAACAAAAGCATCTTTAATCCCAGCATTGGAGAGGCGAGGCAGGCAGATCTCTGTGAGCTCCAGACCAGCCATGGATATATAGTGAGACCTTATCTCAAAAATTTAAAAATCTAAACCAGGCGATGGTAGCGCATGCCTTTAATCCAGCACTCTGGAGGCAGAGGCAGGCGGATCTCCAAAGATAGCCTGGTCTACAAGAGCTAGTTCTGGGACAGGCCCCAAAGCTACAGAGAAGGAAGGAAGGGGGGAGGGAGGGACGGAGGGAGGGAGGTTGGTTGGCAGGATGGAAATGGGCGTGGGGCATGCTAGAGCCAGCCCACCCCTAACACCTTCCCACAATTCAGGAGGGGGCATCCACCCAGTGTGCCCAACTGGAGACTGCTGAGGGCCTTGTCTTCCCCCTGCAGGAGGCTGAGGATGGAGGCCGAGGTGAGTGTGGCAGAGGGACCCGCAGGCCCTGACTAGTGGGTGCGGGCAGACAGCTTAGGCTATGTCAGTGTGGTGACATCTTGTCCATAAACTGACTTTTTCTTTACTGTGTTGGTGACCACCTACCCCAGGGAGGGCCAGTGAGGGAAAGCAGGCTGGGATGGTGTTGGAGTCCAAAGTGGCTGAGCTTTGGTAACAGACATTTCTGTCCACTGTGTCTTTTGGGTTCTGCTCTGTTTTTTGGTCTGTCGTCTGTGTTTTTATCTGTTTCTCCTCATCCCTCTCTCTGCATCCCTTTTTCTCGGCCACAGAATCCCGAATGGCGTCCAATGACTCAGACTCGGAGCTGGAAGAGGCCTCTGACCCACTGTCATCCTCAGATGCCAGCGCCCTGCACCGCCTCAGTTTCTTGGAGCAGCCGGAGGTTGAGGCAGGTCTAGAGGAAGGTCCCCAGAGCCGCAGTGGCAGTGAGGAGCAACTGGAGGGTGAGGATGGAGACCCAGGCCAGCGGCTGTGTGCCTTCAACACCAACCAGTCCAACAACACAGCACAGGTCCCTCTGCCCGCCATGCGGCTCCGAGGGGGGCAGATTACATGTGGTATCAGTGGGGACCGGCGGCCACAATTTGTCTGAACTGGGTTGTGATGGTGGCGACCGTCAGCCACTGCCAACCACTGTAAGGGAGACTAAGGCCCCTTGACTGGGAGGACTGGTTTCTCAGAACACTGAGAAAGGAACTTCAGGGCGCTCTGGTACCCTGGCACTGTCAGGTGTGGCTGATTCGGCTGGGCATTGGTCCCAGATGGAGTGAGCCTGTGCAGATGCAGCAGCTGGATTCCCACAGTCCCCTCATCGCTCCTGTGGTCCCCATCAGCCCAGGGTGCAAGCCACACCCTTCTTGGTCTTTCTGGATGGGCGCCCACTCAGGACACCGTGTAGTGGTGCAGGCGTGGCTTCTGTGTGCGGAGCTGGGGCAGCTCTGGTGTTGGGATTCTTGCAGAAAGCTGAGCTCGGATAGCGAGGCGCTGAGGGTACAGTGGGCCTCTCCCCAGATGCAGTAGTTTCGTTTTTCACATGCACCCCCATTTTGCTTGAAATAAAGTTCTTAACCATCCGAGCCGCTGGACCGGTGTGATATCATTTTGTTTCTCAGATGGGGTCTTGCTTTGTAGCCCTGGCTGTTCTGGAGCTCCCCATGTAAACAGGTTGGCTTAGAACTCACAGGGATCTGCCCACTTCCTACCCACTAGGATTAAAGGCTTGTGCCACCACAGCCGGCTGCATCTTATTTCACTTGTTCCCCTGCCCCCTATACCATAGGGTTTTTCTGTAAACCAGGCTGGCCTCAAACTCAGAGATCCTCTTGCCTCTGCCTCCCAATGCCAGGGCCAAAGGCATGCGCCAACCACATCAGGTGTTGGTTCTTGCTACACACCACATTTTAACTGTATCTTTGCAGTTCTGGGAAAGGATTCCTCTCCTCTGGAGCTTCAGCCTGGGAGTAGCACGGTGGTGGCCCTGGGACATGGACTCACCCCCTGCCCCTCATAAACTGGGGGTGTCACACACCTGTCGTCAGCACAGGGGAGGCAGGAGGATCAGGAGTTCAAGGTCTTCCTTAGCCACAGCGACACTGAGCAGCAGAGGCCATCTTATCATTCCAGTCATGGAAGTCCATGCAATTCTCTGCCACCGATACCAACCAGAGGGGACAGGGCCTTCCTTCCTGATGGGCGGGACCTGGGGGAGGGCTTCCTCATGAGGGGACCGGCCATATCAACAAACCACAGGCACAGATAAGATACTGAGGGCAGGGTGTCTGGAGCCGGTTGGGGTGAGCGCTCCGGGGCGGCCCTGTTCTTGGTAAACAAGACATCAAATCAAGGGAGTCTGACGTCAGTTCTTTGAGAGAGGAACGAAGACTGGCTAGTGGTGTGTGTATGCCTTTGTTGACCTCGATAAAAGCGTCACTTGGTTTTGTTTTTGTTTTGAGGCAGGGTCTCACTAAGTATCTCCGTTGGCCTGAAATGCAGAGTCCTCCCCGGTGCTGGGATTACAGTTGACACCCCCGCCACATCCCACCTTGAGGGTGAGAGGAGCCCTCCCCCACACTAAAACGAGCCACACCCCATCCTGATTGACTTTGCCAAGTGGCTCAGAAGCCCATTTCAGACACTAGATTATGAAAAGGCCACTGTGCTGGGACAGCTAGGAGCGCAGACTGCGTGGTGCTGGGCGTGAACCCAGGGCTCCCCAATGCTGGATGAGTGCACACCACCAAGCACACCCCGTCCGGTCCACTGAGTGACACATGAAAGAGGACTAGGCAAGGTGTGCTCCAGGCTCCGCTATGGCGGCCACAGAGCCGTGGGAGCCTTCCATCTCCAGGAATTCCTACCTGCCCACACCGAAGCTCTGTTCATTGGGATGGACACTTCCTATCCATGTCCCTACCTTTCCAAATCCTGTCAACAGGGATCTGAAGAGGCCTCTGGGAGTGAGACTCCCACACCCTCCCAGGTTGGACAGGGTTTCCCAACCTTCCCATTGCTCTGACCCTTCTTTCCAGTTCCTCACACTGTGATGACCCCACCATAAGATTACTCAGTTGCTACTTCATAACTAATCTGATCTGCAGGATGTCTACTGTGCGACCACTGAGAGCCACTGCTCTAGCGAGGGGAGGGGGGAGCCTTCGTGTGACTCAGGAAAACATCCCATCCTCTGTGTCTGGGGCGCCACAGGCCCGAAGGCAGGACTAGGAGTCAGCATCAGCAGCATCTTAGGTCTGTCCTGCAGAGCATCCCACTCTGGTCACAGACACCACTGAGGTGTGTGTGTGAAGCAAGGCAGGTGGTCCAGAGGTTAAAAGCACTGGCAGCTCTTCTACAAGACCCAGGTTTGGTTACCAGCACCCACAACCATCTGTAACTTCAGTTCCCAGGGATATGCGCCTCTGGTCCGCCAGCCAACCACATTCATAGAAACACACACCCCTGGGAGGCAGAGGCAGCTGGATCTCTGAGTTCCCAGCTAGCCTGGCCCACAGTGAGAAAGTACCTTGGCTGTGACCTCCAAAACACGCATACAGAACATCTAATCCCAGTCTCCTACAGGCAAGATGGGTAGTGGAAACAGGAAGACACCCAGGAAGCCTTCTGGTCGGCTAGCCTGGGCTGTCATCCTGTCCTCCACATGTGGGGCACACGCACACAGGCACACACCCCACCAGAAGTATAGGTAAACAAATCGTCAAGCCACCTGTGGCGCTGCACACCGGTCACCTCAGCACAGAAGGCTGGGGCAGGGCACTCAGTCTCAGGGCAGCCTGGTTGCAGACACAAGGAGACCTTGTCTCAAAACGAAGCCACTCCACGCATTAACAGACATTCTATTTCAGCAGCCAGGGGCAGTGGCCCTGTGTCCACAGGGAGGGGGGCAGTGTGGCAGAACCCCCCAAGGATATCCTGCCTCATGAGTGTGGAACAGTGGTAGGAAATGCATTTGCCCCAGAGGAAGGCTAGTCTGACGGCCACAGCCATCAGTGACTCTGGGGGATGGACAGTCCTGGAGATGGCAGTGCAGCCAGTCACACGGGAACCTGGGCACAGCTGCACTGCGCGGTAGGGAGCAGCCGCTGGCAGCCAGGTGCTGCGGGACTCTCCAGGACATGGGGCAGACACAAGCAAGACTGAGGCCAGCCTGTACTGAGAAGTGGGGATCTGTCACCCCAGCAGGACTTTAGGGTCACCACAACTACTTGGTGAGTTGGAACCCTGATTGTATGACCCTGTCTCAAAAATCAAGGAGGAAGACGGCTGGGCGTGGCCCAGGGGCAAGGAGGTTGCCTAGCACGGAAACCCCTTCCGGGCTTCACCACAGCAAGGCCTGCCTTGCGCAATCAGCTGTAATAGTGGACAGGGTTCTTGACACTCAGGCAGCAGACCTGTGTCTCACCTGATTCATGGAGGAGTGGCTGGGGCCACAGGGGCCCACATGGCATCCCCAAGCCGAGGCCACCCCCCACCCCCAGGACCAATCCTGCGCAGTTCAGCCTGAATTGACCAGATTTCCAAGAGAATGTAACTCCTCAAAATGTCTTTAGTTCTCAGAACAGAGTCCTACAGAATGGAGAACTCTATACAGGGCAGTGTGGGGTACAGCCAGTGCACCAACATTGCACAGGGAGGACTGTGGTGCTGGCTGCCCAGGGCCACATTCCCAAGGCACTGGCCAGGTGGGAACCCTCTAGTCAAAAGGCAAAGAGGTTGTGGCCGGTACCCTTGGCCCCACAGAGCAGCAGGCAGGGTGCTGGTGACGAGGAAGGGCAGATCTGCTGGCTCCTACGCGGGTTCCTTTCCTGTTTTCAGACGAGTTTCTCATACCAGAAGCTACCAGAGCGGCGACGGACCAGTTCTTGAAGTCATAAACTCACTTGAAGTTGCAGCAATCCTCCTGCAGTCTCCAGGGTGCTGGCCCACCTCCTGGTGATGGGGTTACAGCCTGCCCTCACGGGAGGTCAGAGGACAACCTGCAAGAGTCAGTTGCTCCTTTCGCAAGTGGGTGCACTGGGTAGTGCAGGCTGGGGGCTGTAGTGTCTTACCCAACAGTCCTGCTTTTCAGAATGGGACAGGGGTCTGAGCTGGGACCCTGGCAGAGCAGTGTGCTGGCCGGGGCAGGCGGGGCTCACCTGCTGTGTGCTACTGTACCAGGCGGTAGGTGATGTAGCGGCCGGCTGTCTCACTGGGCCGGATGATCTTCACAACCTGTAGGAGAAGGCAGGGCTGGGGTTGGCAGGGCCTGGGGCCCACTGTCCTCTGGCCACAGTGGTCCTGACCTCAGAAGGAGGGGAACAATGGCCACGGCTTCTCACCTGCCCCCGCTTGATCCCAAAATAGCGCGCCACTGGGTCCCCAGCCTGGATCCTGGGCAGCTGGCTTTCGCGAAGCTTGCTGGGACACCATTAAGGAAGAGGCTGGTGGGGCAGCACTGGGGTAAGAAGTCTGGAGTGGGGGGAGGGCGGGGTAAAGGATACTATCAAG